TGTAAATTAACTCCAGAAATATGATCAAGAACCCTAAAAGTTAAAATAGTAGATCACTTTTATAGTTTATTCGTCTTCCGGGTTTGGACAGTGTCATTTGTGAGTGACCCAAAAGTGGGTTCATCTCGACGTTTCGCTACAATTGTATGTAGCTTCTTCAGGAGAACAAAGAAAAAAGAAAAAGAAAACAAAGGACAGGAAGAAGGGTAGCTAGCAACGGTAACTCAGTTACTCAACGCAACCAGAGGCGAATACTAACTACCAAGATGGGCATTTGGTCACAGTAACTCAACTACTCAACGTAGCCAGAGGTGAAAACCAAATGCCAGGACAGGGATTCACGTCCAACAGCTCAGACACTAACGCGTGGAGAGGCGGGGAGTGAATCCGACGATTACTCCGCTACCGCTCTATTTATAGTCGCGGTGACCTGTCGTGTCGGGACGTGTCGGCACACTCCGTGGCGCGAACGTCAAGAAGCGCGCGCTGGCCAATCATGTGGCTGCATCGTGGTAGCGGGACCGGACGGCGGCTCTAGACTGAGATTCCAGATGGGAGACAAGTAGTATCCTTCGTCTCGATTGATATTATGTGGATTTTTTCGGATCTCTAGAGATTCGCGGATTTTCCTGGAATAAAAAAAGGGGCTCTTAGAAATAATATGGGTTTTTTCGAACAATATGGAATGACCGGTTTCTTGGCAGTGTTCTGCAACTGCAGAATGGGAGAAAAGACCTGATCGAACGCATCTTTGATGCTCTTGAATACGAGTTTTGACGGAACGACCAGTTTCGCCAATATACACATGTCCACATGAACAAGGAATAGAATAGACACCACAGGAAGATAGGGGCGGTAATGGGTCCTTAGGAGAGGGTAGATATTGTAAATCTCACAATCTCTGGTTCTGGTTCTTAAATCTCTGGTTCGTTGTCCCATCGACGCTCTTCGGTCAAAAACTTTTCTAACTGTTGCACCATCCTCTAGCCTGACGAGACATCTTATATACCCCATCCATCTAAGACGTAATACATTTTACAGCTTTATTATCAGGTTCCCCAAAACTTCTATACAACTCAAAGTTGCAACATCTGCACCACAAACTTTGGAGGAGAGAGAACCTGTTGCCGACAAGAATGTAGACCGTAGAATAATTTTTAATAATTTTAAACTGTTTGTCCTTGTTTTAATGTAGTGTTATGTACAATTTATGTCCAATTTCATGTTTATTACATTCTGCGCTTGCTGGATAGCCCAAATTTGACGAAATGCCCCTGATGATGCTGTAGAAAGCGAAAGTACTTGGGCAAGGTTTGATTATTAAATTTGTGCTCGATATTTGCCTTTAATTTTTCAAAGTTCATTTATTCGAGCATTCAACCTTATATCAGTTATTTTTTTTATTGTTGTTTTTATGTTACAAAATAGACCTGTACTCGTCTGAGTACTGTGGGTTTGTATGAGATCAAAATGATTATTTGGTTTTTTATTGTTTCAGATTCAATATTGGTATTGGAATGGATTTTCAAGAATTGCCGCCTATTAGTCCCATTGGGTATTATGAAAAACGTTATAGTAGAACTCTTCCTTTAGCTTCAGATGACCTAGCGAGTTCCACTCATACAGATGTATCGGTGGTACTTATTTCTCCTGGGACTGACTCATGATATAAGGAAACAAGGTATGCTCACTAGGTGGACCCGTTTTTGCACATTTCTGCGCCGACCAAAATCCACCATCTTTTTAATATGTCACATGCGTGTAGGGATGGTGACCTGATCCCGTACCAGTTACTTTGGAACATGTATTTTATTTATACTTGTGGAACTGATCCCTAACACCAATATATTATAATAAACGAGTACGGGTTTCATTGCATTTGTCCTTAATTTTTATCGTGCATTTCTCAACGTTTACAAAGCTTTAGATAAATATCAACAGATGACAATTGGCATGAAGTAGACAAAACTATCGCCATTTTTTTATGAACTTTTTATACAATCTCTGAATAACAGTAATTTAAGTATTTGAAGTTAAACAGTCATTTAAATAACTATAAAGAAATCTAACAAAATACAAATAATGTTGTCGTTATGTTTAGATATCTATTAAACGAATGAAAAACTGATTTCCAAACCAGTATTTTTTAACAGGTATATTTGTTTACGCGTATCAATTTGACCTGATCCACAAAAATACTTGGATTAACCACCTCTACATGCTTGACGTCTGCTTTGTTTTGCATTTTTTAACCTTACTTTGCAATGTATTGGAATTTAAAAGTAAATTTGTTTCGATTTTTTTAAAATTATTTTAGCAAGAGTCTGTTCAGATCATTTTAAATCTGAATTAATTGGATTAATGTAGAATATTAATTTTATTTTATTTAATTTAGCTACGATATTTTTTATCAAATTTGTACATATTTGAATTGCCGCCTTCAAAATGGCGGATTTTGGTCGTAAACGCGATTGGCTGTTCAAAATAGATGCGCGTGAGCATACCATGTTTCCTTATATCATGGACTGACTATCAAACTGACAATGAGGATGATCTTCAGACTTAAAACTTTCCGAATGACGTTCCGGGAGAAATAAAGGTTCATTACATGAGTGATGACAGATAACGACGAAGAAGACAATCTTCCTCCTGCCATTAGATGAGAAAATTTACTGAAGGATCAAAATAAAACCAATAAATCTGACTAGAAATAAGAAATTAGTGATGTATGGGAATTAGGGATAGTATGACATCTACAATAGGTTACGAGTGTTGTCTGGATAGTATGAAAGAACAAATCCGAGGTAAATTTCCTATAGAAATATTTGAGAAATTTTTTGACAATGAAATTATTGAATATATTACACAGCAGACAAATTTATGTGCCGCTGAAAATAATAATCATCTATTTCATGTAATAGCATAGATTGCCACGAGAGTTCAACTCATCATCATCATCTTTGGCTCGACAATCCTCTGTGGATCTTGGCCTGCTCTAAGATTCGTCGCCATTCTGTTCGGTTTTTGGCAACATGTTGCCATCTGATTTTTAATATTCGTAAGTCGGTTTCTACTCCATCTAACCACCTAATTCGCGGTCGGCCTTTACTTCTTTTTCCTACAGGTATTCCTGTGGTTAGCTTTTTAGCAATTGTATTTTCTGGAATTCGTATTATGTGTCCAGCCCATCTAAGTCGCTGTGTTTTAATGAACGTTATGACATCTGGCTCATCGAAGAGCTGATACAATTCAAAATTATATCTTCTGCGCCACTGCCCTTGGTCGTTTACAGCTCCAAATATTTTGCAGAGTATTTTACGCTCAAATATTCCCAAAAGTCTTTCATCTTTCTGCGTTAGTGTCCATGTTTCTGCTCCATATGTGAGGACCGGCCTCAGCAATGTTTTGTATATAATAATTTTAGTTCTTCTTTGAATGTTTCTTGAGTGAAAATGCTTTTCTAGTCCATAGTATGCCCTATTTGTAAGATTTATTCGTCTTTTGATTTCTTCGCTTGTTTTATTGGTAGCAGTCAATAGCGACCCAAGGTATGTGAAGTTGTCAACACGTCCAAAGGTATGACTTCCAAAGACTGTTTCTCGTTCGTCATTTGCTATCGGATCCTTTGTAACCAACATCTACTTGGTTTTGTCTTCGTTGATGACTAGACCGACCTGTTTCGCCGCTGTTTCCTATTCTAGGAGATATTGCTCAACATCTCGCTTGCTACGCCCTACTATGTCAATGTCATCAGCATATGCTAAGACTTGTATCGATCTATGCATATCGAAGAAGCAGACAACACCCTAGCAAATCGAAATGATTGGAATCCTTTCAACCCAAACGAAAGACCACCTACCATCGAAAACGTTGCCCAAGCTATTAAAAAGCTTAAAAATAATAAATCACCAGGAGTTGATCAAATTTGCAGTGAGCTCTACAAGAATGGTGGCGATGCCCTACTACAGACACTGCATAGGCTTTTACTTCTTGTTTGGCATAATGTGACCATGCCTTGTGAATGGTCTCAAGGCGTGATATGCCCGTTACATAAAAAAGGTGACCAGCTCCAGTGTGACAACTATAGAGGTATAACACTGTTAACAACTGCTTACAAAATACTAGCAAATATTCTCTACGAAAGGTTGCAAGTTTACACAGTGGGCATAGTTGGTAAATATCAAGTTGGATTCACTCCAGAAAAATCAACAATTGACCAGATTCATTCAATAAGACAGATTCTCGAGAAAACATTAGAATTCAATATCGAAACCCATCACCTATTCGTCGACTTCAAGGCCGCATACGACAGTGTCAAGAGAACAGTGCTATACCAATCAATGCATGAGTTTGGTATACCAGAGAAACTTATCCGACTAACGAGAATGACAATGTCTAACTTAGAAGCCACTGTTAGAATACAGGGAGAGAGTTCTAAATCCTTTGAGATAAAGGATGGACTTAGACAAGGAGATGCTCTGGCTTGCCTCATATTTAATATTGCCTTAGAAAAGGCAGTCCGAGATACACGAATTAGGGATGGCGGTACGAGAGTTCAAATGGTGTTTAAATGAGGATCTTCAGGTTTCCCTCGTGACTGTTTCGAAGAAATTAAAAAAATACCTACATTTGGCAGATAATTCGCGAATTGATACAAGGGACAGAATGTATAAAGTGAGGCTTCTCATGAACAAACTAAATAAAAAAATTCAACAATTTGGCATATTTCACAAAGACTTATCATAATTATTATAGACTTTCTATAATAAATAATTTGTTAAGGAGTATAGTTCTAATTTCTGTATATTATAAATGTTCTCCTTAAAATCCAGAAGATTCAATTTCTGAGAATTTCATAATGAGCGGGATCCAGTTCATGTAGGATTAGTGGTTTTAGTTCATTATAATACCGCATATTCACACTATCATAAAACTTAAAAATAATCTGTTTTAGACCACATATTTCGCGAAAAATCAAAAAATTAACAATGAAAATTTACCTTTTTTGGCAGTGACGTCGTTGGTTTTTCGGAACTAGCAGCCACTTCCGCTGGTTTAATCACTGTAGCATTAGTGGCTTCTCTTTTAATGATATTGTGACTAACTACCTCGTACACTAGTCGATCATCTAATTCTGAAACAGAGAAAGCATAATTAATAAAATATATTATAACATTAATATTTACTTCTTATAGTTTTGAAACTATTTTACAGACGATATAAATCTTAAATATTTTCATGATTTATATCAGAATCTTTGGAATTTATTAAAATCGGTCCATCATTTCACGTCGAAAGTTATAACTTTCGACAAGGATCTATTTGAACCAATGACAACGTCTCAAATCAATTAAAATGCGATCTGGGTCTACCTCAAAATCATGATTCAACAATGATCTATTGGATCAAGCGAAACCAATTGTTTTTTATGAAACAAAAAAAATATCATTACGAAGTAGAGCGGTTAATAACTTTACAAAAAGGTGCCACTAAGCCTAACAATTAAAGATTTGTGTTTACGTACGAGGTAACTCTGAAAGTTTCCAGATCATAGATGATATTTTTCAATTGCAAAATGCGGCTGTTACCAATAGGATTGGGTCTTCATAAATTTTTAATTAGACTTCCCCCAAAATTGTGTTTTAAAAATTTAAGAAGTGGTTTATAAACTCCGCCAAAAAAGTATCGCATCACTATATTGCAAATTTTGTATTAAAAATAATTTAAAACACGGATTTTTTACTGTTTTTTTTTTGTTACTTTACTTTACTTTATCGTGTCCGGACATGTCATTCATAAAATTTCGGCCCAGTATCGGGCTACGTCGGTTCCATCTTTGTTGGCGAGCCACAAATCTTTAAGGGTACATCGATCAGGACAGTTTCTGCATGTAAGAAGATGTTCCATATTCTGTGTTTCTCCACAGTCACAGTTCACATCATCTTGGTCTATTTTTCCCCATTTTGCCATGTTTGATTTTACTGTAGCAACCCCCGTTCTTATCCTATTCAAGTCTAGGGTCTGGCCGGTCCATTGAACCTGGGGAAGTGGAAAATACTCAGGCGGTTCATCCTGCACTGTTCCAAGGAAGCTTTTCCTAGATTTTAGTCGCTTTCGTGGTGTTCGAGCTTTGTATAGGGCATGCCGATCGTCCGCGATCTGTTTAATTTTCTCTATGTGTTCTGCAGCGCCTCTGCGTGTTGAGGGTTCTGCAAAACCCGCTGCTCTATATAGATTTGAAAGTGGCGCTGGTTTCATGCACCCCGTTACTATCCTGCACGTCTCATTTAGCGCAGTATCAACTTGTTTATTGTGGGCAGAACTGCTCCAAACGGGGCACGCATATTCAGCAGTTGAGAAACACAGTGCCTGTGCCGTTGTTCTTAAAACGCCAGGACGTGCGCCCCATTTACTTCCCGTTAGCTTTCTGAGTATGCTGTTCCTAGTTGTTACTTTCCCTCTTGTTTTTATGCAATGTTGTCTGTAGGTGAGGGACCGGTCCAGAGTTACTCCAAGATATATAGGCTGGTTTGTGTGTTCTAATGCATTACCATTCCACACAATTTGGAGTTTTCGCTTGGCTTCCTTTGTGCGAAGGTGGAAAGCGCAGACTTGGGATTTAGAGGGATTGGGTCTCAGAAAATTCTGCAGGTAGTACGCTGTCATTGTTTTTAAGGCAGTTTCGAGTTTCTCCTCCACTTTTTCAAAACTATTTCCTTGAGCACATATTGCAAGATCGTCAGCATAGAGAAAGTGCTTGGTTTCGGTCGGAGTAGGTTGGTCGTTTGTGTATATATCGAAGAGCATTGGTGCTAAAACACTTCCCTGTGGGAGGCCGTTTTTTTCAACTCTCCACCTACTTACTTTACCCTCCAGCATAACGAAAAAACTTTTTTTTCTTTTTTAAGTACGTAACAAGTATTAAAAGAAAAATGGCATTGAATAAAAAAAATCAAAAGTAATGTTAATTTAGTAAGACGTATTGCCTCCTATAGCTCTTATAACATCTAGATATCGTTGTGGCATACTTCCAATTAATATTCTTGGATAATCTTGATCGATATTATCCCATTCTACGGTTAACAACCGTTGCAGGTCCTGAAGATAAGCTGGAATCACATTACCAGATCTCACCCTTCTGTAAAGATGGTCCCAAACATGTTCTATTGGATTAAGTCCGTGTTATGCGCTAGCCAATTCAAAACTTTACCTCTTGAAGGTAAATTTACCTCTTGAAGGTACTCGGTAATGATTTTATCGGTACACGAAAATTTCTCTAATGTAGCTATCAGCAGTTAAGGATCCTCCATCTATCTGTACCAATTCGGTTGACCCCTAAGAGATATTCCGGTCCAGAGCATAATAGATCTTCCTCCAAAGTTTGTCGCCGGTCTTAGGTTGAAAGAAAAAAAATGGGAATAAAGTTAATGTCTTGTAAGCGATTTTTTTTATTATTTGTTTTGTATCATGAGAGAGTAATATATCTGGTTCAAGTTGTCGATGTCGGTTCTCTTATTTAGGGACGATGGATGTTTTAGAATTTGGCACATTTCAAGGATAGAACGCTTATGATAAATTTTTTGTTTGCACAGTATTTTGGTATTCGTGAAGTCGATACTGTGTTTGGTTGAAATGGCATGTTGTGCAAGGGCACAAGATGGTTTAGATATCCTAATGTCGCTTTTGTGGGACGTTAGTCGACCTTGAAGAGAGCGGCTGGTCTGGCCAATGTAGCAGGAGTTGCACTCTGCACAACCAAATAATACGAATTGGATAAATACGACCCGGTACAAACTACTACTGGGACACTACAGTCCCATTTAGAAATTATGGTAAAATCGATAAAAACAATATCAAAAATAAACAATATCACTAACCTGTGTTAATCAGCAACTAAATTATATAATCGGTTAAAAAAAAACAGAACAGCCACGTTTTCTTTACTAAAATTGTATTATTTATGAGTTGTTGATGCACGTGTTGAATTAACATAAATTTATAGGTTACAGACGCGATATGTAGGTTGCATCATCATCATCATTGGCTCCACAACCCATGGTGGGTCTTGGCCTGCTCAAGGATAAGTCTTCATTCTCTCCCATTCTTCGCCTTGGCTTTCCAATTTCGTACTCCCAACATTCTCAGTCTTCCTCCACCTGATCCTTAAATCGTGCTCTGGGTTTGCATCTCCTTCTCATTCCATCTATTCTTTGGTTATAAATATGTTTTGGTGGCTCCATCTCATTCATTCTCTCTATGTGACCTAACCACCGCAGCCGGTTTATTTTGATGGACCTAATAATATTAGGTTTGTCATACAGGCGGTGAAGTTCGAAATTATAGCGTGTACGCCATAATTCGTCCTCCTGTACTCCTCCATAGATATGCCGGAGGATTTTACGTTCAAAGCATCTTAAACGTTCTTATTACTGCATTATTCTGATTAATTTGTGAGCCTATATAAACTATCTTACTCCTTCGAAAGTATATGTTCCGATGGTTAGATCTTCGGGTTGTGCTGCTTGTATATAATTTGATACTTTTATATACTTCGTCTTACTAGTGTTAACCTCTAGTCCCATTCTTTTTGTTGCTCTGCTTGAAGTGTCTTGAATGATTCGACCACGTCCGCCTTTCTTCTTGCAATAATTTCGATGTCATCGGCGTACGCTAGTAATTGTACGCTGCGATTAGTAATAGTTCCTCTGGTTGTTATTCCAGATTCTCTTATCGCTTTCTCTAGTGCAATATTTATTAGAAGGCATGATATGCTGTCTCCTTGTCTAAGTCCTATCTGAGACTGGAACGTTCTGGAAACTCCGTTTTGTATTCTAACTTTACACTCGACTCTTGAGAGGGTCACTATCAGCAATTCTTTGAATGAATTCTTTCCTGTTCTTATTAATCCTCTTGTAGAACTTTCGCGTTTCTGCTTGTGCCTTATAGTTCTCTTACAGTTCTTTAAGTTGGCTCTCTATATGCTCTTTCTTCTTTTTTTAGGTATTCGTTTTCCTTTTCGTCTCAGCTGCCTATACTCTTCCTTTCTTTGTCTCGTTCTTCGCCCTTGGAGTGTTCTATATGCCTGATTTTTTCTTTGCGTTGCTTGTGCGCATTCCTCATCGTACCAGTATGACCTTAATTTTTTACGTTTTTGCTTTCCGACAACTTCAGTTGCCACTTCTTCCAATATGGCTCTACACTGTTTCAATAATTGTTAATATCTTTAACTATGACATCCGTGTAACCTTCCAGCTTGCTTCTGAGACTTTCCTAGAATCTCTTAGCTATCTCAGGGTTCGTCAACGCTTCTACTTTAAACTTTTGCTCTTTAACTCTTTTTTCTTTCTTTGCATTGGCGATTCTAGCTCTTAGTTTAGCTTGTAGTAGGTAATGGTCCGAGTCTATGTTCGCCCCGTGTCTTGAACGTACGTCTAGCACGTCGCTGAAGTGTCTTGCATCAACTACAACATGGTTGATTTGGTTTACTGTATTCCCATCTGGACTTCTCCAGTTGTAGGTTGTAGGTTGCATACCAATAGATAATGAATAAGAAATGCCTTCAAATAGCATGATCTTCGGGGACAAAGAGATGCCAGCAGATTTTTTGAAATTCGCTTGGACATATATGTCCCCACAGTAATGAATGGGATATGAACGTAGTAATTTTGCAGAGAAATCCTAGACTATCAGAAGAATTCGGAATTTTTCTGCGTTCACGTTCAGACTACATATTTAGCAAAACATAAACTATTATCAACATTAATCGATTTCATCAATTATATTTTTTCTTGTTGTCAATTAGAGATACCAATTATTGATTTTTCTTTCAAGTTTTCATAAACAAACGGAAGGTCACCGTCGTATCGCTAACCTCTAATTTATCAGCATTTAAATCAAATATAATTTGAAATTTTTAAAGTCAAAAGTCAATAAGCACTGTCTATCATCTATTTATTGTTCATCTGTGACTCATTAAAAATAGTCAATTGTGCAAATCTTAATTTGACATTTGGATATTTGGAATTCACACTTTTTATTAGGACAAGGTGAAAATATCTTGGTCTAATACTAATAAATATGTATTTCTCTTTTTATTTAAATAATGCATGTATTTCACAACTTATCATCCATTTAACTGTCTCATATATCCATAAAAAACGGCGATTTTATATTTATATAATTAGTAGGACTGCTTAAT